TTCAGAGCCGCGCCAGTCTCGTGGCTGCTCAGTGTGAGAATTTACCTTTTGGTGTTTTAATTCTCTCACTTCTGATTGGAGAATCAGTTGTGATTGGAGAATCAGGTGATTCTCAGTTAAGTGCGGGAGGATGTAACGGGGTACAATCCAGTGTGCCCCATGTTACATAAAGAGTGACCCGTCACTCTTGTGGACACCTGGTACACGGTACCAGGTGCTCTCGGAGCCAGTCAGTGCATGACTACTTAGCTCCACTATAGGTAACCTCTAGTTTGTATGAGACCCAAGCTTATCTTACTTATAAATACATCAGTCTTAAATCTACTCCTCTAAGTAGCAAACCGTTCCCACTGAGGCCGGGAACACGTGGACTTACGTTCACTCGGGTAGTTAATACCCTTAAGCACTTCCTCTGTGCAAGGTGCTGTGTGACCCCGTCACAGATAGTCTACCCGCGGTGGCGTGGATTGACTACTAGTGCTACCAAGTGTGACGGGTCACACAGCACCTTGCGCTAGAGGAAGTTATCTTCCGAGAGTATACAAACTCTCAGTGAACGGCAGCTCACAGGTCCCCTCTTTAATTAAAGAGAGCGAAGTGACCTAAATAAGGTTGATTGTAAACTGAGTATATTTATAGGTAGGTTAAGTTTGGGTTTAATACAAACTTTTAGTTACCTATAGAAATGCAATGTCATTTAACCAATGGTTGGCTTTGAACGACCTTGGTACCTTGTACCAAATATCCCGGAGTATGACGTGTCATACTCCTGAAGTGTGAAGTGTCACACTTCATGTAACCAGGGTACACTTAGGGCTACGTACCCCGTTACATTGTCGTACCCAATATTGTTTTTTTACATCTAAACATGCATATTCTGTCATTCAAGCTTGTATCAGAAACAGCATTTTTACTTTAATCAAGAAGAATGGTCATGCATAACTGAATATCCTCTGTACATGTACCAATGATGTCACCCAGGTAAATGCTGCTTGTGGTGGCCAAGGGCAACATCACTGTAAATTACGACTAACCGAAGTAATTTTATCCGCGTGAATGTTGTTTGAACAGTCTTCAGCTTTCACGCAGGTGTAGCAGATGCGTACGACATACCATACCGTTAATATCTCTCTTGTGATCGCAGTGCGACTCGCACAGTGTGATCGTGTATTTACTTCGGTTTACAGGACTGCAGTAGTAATGCGTCAATAAGGAGCGCATGGGAATTAATATCCTTGTAAACATTATATAGAACAAATTGACAAGTACAAGAACTTGAGTATACTGTAAAGTGCGGTAATGAGGAACGCATGGGAGCCAATACATGTATTCTTGTAAAGTTTGTACCAAATTCAAAATTACCTTTTTCTGGCACTTTGAGTACGCTAAGCTTTGTCTACTTCGAAGTAATCCAGAGCTTCTCCGTGAAACACGGCTTTGTATACTATAAAAGGTAGTAATTGTGATAGTGATATTATTTTCTCGGAGGCGTGATGGCAACAGCAGAGTTTGTTCCCCCAAGACTCCATTTCGGGGGGTAATAAACACTGTTGATATCTTCGACCTACAAATAGCACCAGCCTTCAGATTTTAAGAGACTATTTACATTTTCTTTGTCTTGACATCACCCACCGTGGCCATGCCAGCCATAGCTCCGTCTCCGCTCAAGAGACACACCTCCGGTCCTGGACCGGGTCCCGTCACTAGATGCGTAAGCAAATCGCTGCAAGGAATCCTCCAGCTCGCAGGACGACTACTGGGACAGGATTCTATGAGTAAAGTGGACGAGTTCGAGCGATTTCGACTCGAGACGCCACCGTGGAAAGTAGCGCTAATCCTGATCTTTACTCCGTTGCCTTGGTTAATTATTAATCTCCTGTTGGAATTGATCCCTCTCACTGACCCATCTGCTGGATTTTGGGGCTCTGGGTGCTACCAGCTCCGGATGTTCTTCATCTCGATCTTCAGCAGTATCGCCCCCGCCGCCCAGAAGCTCGATTGTGTTCCAGGGTTTCCAGTTCGATCTGTAAGAGCTCTTCCACTGTACGGACTATTCCAAGGCTGTGTCTGTATAGGCACCAATATGATTATTTCGCTGGCAGCAGGGGTCTTCCCTGTACCGTTCAGTCAATTCACGTGCATAATCCCCATGGTGATCAGTGGCAGACTCGTTTTCTTTCGCAAGGTACCGGACGATCCTCAGTTCCATGCGCTTAGCGATAAAGTGAACCAGTGGCTGGGTATGGAGACGCTGCCCATCTTAGTGTATTCTGTATTCACAGCCGTATTCATGGTTCTTTCGCCCTCACAGCAGCTCTGGATGTCGCTTATGTTGCCTGTACTAAAATTAACAATTCGTGGTGCACTGTGGTATGTTGCAAGGCACGATGATGACCTCGTTGGGGTCATAACGTGCTGTGTGGGGCATCTCTATCACGTGCTCTTCACAGCGATGGTCTTACAGAACGCAAAGTCTCTGGAAACCCTGGCTGTGGTGGTATTTTTCGGCACGGTGCAAATGCTATTCAACTGTCGATGTATGTTCGCTGACTCGACCAATGTCTATCAAGCCAGAATAAAAGCCGAAGCAGTAGAGATGGAAGTGCCAACTTTATCGGTTAAGGATAATTTACAGTCGGCGCTTACGTTTGCTCAAGAACTGCGTATAGCGCAGAACCTGCACTGGAGAAGTCCATCTTTACTGCTCTCGACGTATACTGGCTACCGCAATGCTGAATTTATAAAGCAGAATGAAGAAATGCTGCGAGAGGCGACTCTGTTCAATGCTGTCTTCGTGTACAACAGCCCCCAAAAGGCAGCTGTTAGAGGTCCGCACAGTAATGTCGGAGCTCCTAAACTCGTAGCGGTAGGGAAAGCCTCAGCAACGGTGGAATATCAAGGATTCTACCATGGGCAGGTGGCTCAAAATCAAGTTTCCGATCAAGTGATTCGCCTAAAATCTCGCTTACAATCTCCACGATCTCATAGTGATCCGAGCGCGTGGGCTAACGCCGTGAAAGAGGAAGGTCGACTAGCAAGACGTGAAGCTGTCATTCATCAAGTTGCCGCGGCACTTCATCAGTCCGAGTTGGTTCTGCTTCGGTCGTACGTCACAATTTGTATGACGCTATTTTACGGTAAGGGTATTATTATTAAAGAGCCTTTCTCTGTCTAATTGGCATACTCTAATTATTTTCTTCTATTGTAGTAATCTACTTGGAAGTCGTTTTTCGTCTGAAGAATCGCCACTTCTTTGCTACTCTCGTCTACTTGACGACACTGGATGCTGTGGACCAAATTGCGCAGAGATTGCTGTTGATATGCGCTGTGGAGGCTGTGTTTCTCGCCATCTATCTGCTGCTGATAGAGCGGCGATTAGGAATTTGGGGTCTCTACCAACTGGCGTTTGTCTTGTGGTCGCAGCGAGTGCTCGTGCAGGCAAAGTTAAACGTGACCACCATCATATTGGGCTTCCCTCTTACACACAACGGAAACGACAGTATCCTGCGCTTTAATTCCGCTCGCTAGAAAGGTTGCAATAAAATCAAAGCCTCTGATACATGTACATCAGTCTATCGGACATGACGGGATATTTCGCTCTGTCACTGACTGGTACAGAAGGTCATCTAAAAAAAGGATATCAATAAGAGAAAGCTGAATAAGAGTAGAGTACAGTCTCACTGAAGACGCAGGTTTAGCACCTCTTTTTATAGTTACAGCATATCATTAATATTAGTTGTGTTTTGCGACCTTCGGAGAGCATGGTGGCGGTGTCACCTGCTCCGTCAGATATCGAGCTCGCAGTGAGGCCCGTTCGTCCAATCTCACTGATAGTCGACGCATGTCTTCAGTGGTTTACTCTACTTGCCGGACGACTGCCAGGGGCGTATACAGTGGCCAAGCTAGACGCATTTGATAGGTTCCGGCGCAAAATCTCACCATGGGAACTGACAGGAATGTTTCTACTATCACCCGCTGCCTGTTTGGCTGTCAATGTGTTAATCGAGAGCATTCCACTCGCAGACCCGGCATTGGGATTCTACGGCTCTCGAAACTTCCAGATCAGGAACTTCGTGGTAGGAACGACCGTCATGATGACTCTGATCACGACCAAACTGTCCTGCATATCCCGAATTTTGCCCCGATCATGGAAATATATTAGTGGGATTAGTGTGGCACTCACAGCCGTTGCCATCTTGACCAACGCAGTGATCGCAGTTATTGGCGACGTATTTCCCGTGCCATTTACGCAATTTGTACCAACTGGCCCCATGGGAGTGATTGGCACTTTGAATAACCGCAAATTTCTAGAAACTCCAGAAAATCGAGCACGGATGCAGAAAATTGATCGATGGTTGGCCATGGATTTAGCTCCAATTCTCATCTACCCGATCTTCACAGCGGTGTTCATGGCTGTGGAACCAGAACAGCAAATGTGGTTATCTTTATGTCTCCCTGTTTTGAAGCTGTTCGTGCGGTATTTAGTGTGGGTAGCTATCAAAGACGAGTTGGATCTGGTAGGCGCAGCTACGTGCAGTGTCGGGCATTTGTACCACATCCTGTTCACAGTCATGTGTCTTCAGAATGCCAAGTCCTTGGAGACGTATGCTGCTGTTATAGCTGTGAATACTTTGCAAATGCTGCTGAATTGTCGTGGAATTCTCAAAGATGCATACGAACTTCGAAAAATAACTGAACAGCTTGAAGATCTGGACAAGCTCGGTTCGATGGATATTGTCTCTCTCGTATCATGGATTGCCCAGCAAGAGCAAGTCTCCAGGTCTCTTCACCATAAAACACCGTCAAGATTGTTGTCAACTTGTCCAGAATACCAGCGAGACGACTACGTGACTAAATACCACAAACTCTTACAGTCCGAGACCTACGCTATCTCTAAAAACTCACGTCTTACCAACCTCAAGGGGCGAGATCAGCACCTGAACAGCAAGCGGCGAGGCACACATCCAACTGGGCGTAACGCATCTCCGGGAGAGGGCTTTAAAGACCTTTTACCTAAAAGTGATGCCGTATTGATATCTACTCGGGCTGCGTCAGTTGCTGAGCTACCGGTGGCTACAATAGTGAAGGCAAATGAAAAAAGCCGAGCTGTCAAGTCACTGACAGGTGGAGCGCGTCAAGGTGAAGCAGTTGTTCGTCGCTTCACCTCTGCGTTGCATCAAATCGAGATCGTACTTCTCCGGTCCTACATCACAATCTTTGCAATGGCATTTTACGGTTCGTGAGATTCATTTGCAGCACCGGAACGTAACACTATTATTGGATATAACGTTGTTATTTTGTAAATTTAGGACTGTATCGGGCGATTGTATTCGCTCTCCCTGACCGAAAATACTTCGTCACGATGGCCACCACCACGACAACCGGCGCAGTTGCCAGCATGACCTACCACATGCTCGTTCTCTGCACTCTCGAACTTGTCTTCTTGACTCTATACATAGCTCTCATCTCCCGCCAATTGGGGTATTCGGGGGTCCACCAACTTGGATTCGTGCTTTGGTCACAGCGGATACTCATTCAGGGCAAGTTCATCATGCTGTCAATCATGATCCTGGGGTTCCACTTTGGCAACGGGGTGATTTTTCAGCTAAACGCAAAAGTATGCGCTCGTTTTTTATAATTATTATTTTTAAATTAAAAGAACAAACAAAACGAAATCATTGCTTTAAAGCCTTTTAATAGAGTATTGCCAGTCTTCTTTAACTACGCTCGTGGTCAATCATGGTAGCTGCTGTCTCGCCAACGTCAGATGATGTTGCGACCTCACGACCGGCTGTCTCGATCGTTGTTCGAATAACCAAAGCCACTGTTCAGTGGTTACGGCTCATGGCTGGTCGCCTCCCTGGAGAATATACGATCGCCAAGCTTGACGCCTTCGATCGCTTTCGTCGTGAAACCTCTCCACTCGGAATAGTTGCCATTCTCATACTGACGCCAATCCCTTGCGTTCTTGTAAATATTCTCGTTGAAAGTATCCCGCTTCGCAACCCAGCCGACGCTGCGTGGCATTTTTACTGCGCAATTTCGTGACTGCGACGATTGTGACGATGGTTCCGTTCCGGATCAAAGCTGATTGTGTACCAAATCTGCCAATCCAGTCGTGGCAACTTTCGGTCGGATTTGGGGTTTTACTGGGCACCATTTCGACCGCATTCATCGCTGCTCTAATCGTCGTCACTAAGGAGTTTCCCGTCTTGTTATGTCAGTTCACACCGATGATCCCAATGGGAATCGTGGGAAGAATAATTGAGCATCGACTTCTTCACAGACCTGACGTTAAGCCACGACTAGAAATAATTGACCAATGGCTGGCTATGGTTGTAGCTCCCATTGTGGTCTACCCTCTCTTCACTGCGGTTTTCATGGTGCTAACATCAAGACATCAGCTGTGGTTTTCCCTGATATTACCGGTGATCAAACACCTAATTCGATACGTACTTTGGCGAGGAGCCAAGGACGATCTGGACCTCGTGGGCTCCGTTACGTGCACTATTGGACACTTTTATCATGTTCTCTTCACGGCAATGTGCCTACAAAACGCTAAGAATCTGGAGACTCTTTTTGCTGTCGTTGTTGCGAATTTTATCCACATGCTCTTCAACTGCCGTGACATTCTGCGTGATGCGCGTCGAAACGGTGGAACCAAGTCTCGACTTGAGCATTCGTCGAGTAGTGATATCGTCTCGTTAGCTCTAGCAGTTGCTCAGAAGGATCCCGTGTCCAGATGCCTCCACCGCAGATCTCCGTCTCGCCTCGTCTCACTGTACCCGAGATATCAAACCACTGAGCTCCGTACTAAGCACCACGAAGTGATAGCAAACGCAGATACTGATGCCTCCACTGGACAGCCAAGACAAACGATGTTCTCACCTCATCAGTCTGTCCAGAGCTCAGCCCAGGTTCTTCCTAGCTCAGTTTTAAAGCCCTCGAGTGTAAGAGAAGAATCCTGCACTCAAACAGTGACAACGTATGGATCACATCACAACGGTAGCCGTAGCGAGCTCGACTTGGTTCGAAGCGTGACGTCCTCGTTGCACCAGACCGAGTTTATCTTGCTCCGGATATCACGATTTTTGGGCTGTCGTTTTATGGTACCGTAAAAGTTTTTTTTTTCTTCACTGTAAAGCTGGTTCGCTGATGATGTTTCCCTTGACAGGAGTGTACTTGATGCTGGTGTTTTCGCTGCCTACTTACCGTTTTTTTGCTACAATGAGGTATATGACCACGTTTGATGCGCTGAGAGCTAAAGGTCTCCAGTTGCTGCTACTTTGCTGCGTGGAATTTGTCTTTTGCACCGTGTACTTGATTATTATTCGACGCCGAGTTGGCATATCTGGCCTCTACCAGCTTGGATTTGTACTGTGGTCTCAGCGCGTGCTGATTCAAGGCAAGTTTATCATGCTCTCGATCATGATCCTTGGGTTTCCTCTTGAACACTACGGCAACGGATTCATTTTCCGACTACATTCTAGAACTTGAAAGGCCGCTCTGACACTTCAATTACTCGAGATTTTGACGGTAATAAAACATTCAGCAACGCCAGAGTGATACCATCGTCTTACCCATGGATTACTTTAAACAGCACTAGTGTCGATTGTAGCTGCAACCGAAGCCGAGCTTTCCTTAGGTATCTCGCAATGGCTGTCTGACTCGCAGTCTGCGAGTGGCCAATAGTAATCATTCCAGAGCACTTGTAATGTTCTCGACCAGCTGAATATGAAGAAGTACTATTAATAAGTTGGATTTGATACTTGGTTAAAGAAGAAGCTTGACTGATTTTACGGAGCCTGGATGCCTCGACAAACGCCTTGAAAACCGACGCGTATCGAGTGTACCTCCGTTACGTAAAGAAAGACGGGGAAAAGAAGGGAAGCAAGGCATGAAAAGCCAAACTGCATTCATTTGATTCAGTATCAGTATTCACACCTTAGCATTTTCAGATGAACACTATGTGGCCTCAGCCGCCGCCTTTTGCAGCTTGTAATAGTCAAGATACCCACGAAAGACCTGCGCATCCGGGTTCGTCGACCACGAGGCTTTCTCCATGTCTAGCATTTTCCAGATTTGAGACGGCTTCGATCCTTCTGCGAACCAAACTTTAAATTGCGCGGTCTGCATCGCCGTTGCTAGCGCATGCGTCCTGGGCTCCTTTTTCGCTGCCTCGAGCATCTTGGATACAGCTTCATCTCCGTAGAACAGCATCAGTTGCTTGAGGACGCTTGTTTCCTTGCCAGGATTTTGCTTGTTGAATAGTCTGACATAGGTGTCTAGAGAGTTAAGACTCGGATTAGTCAGCAGGTTATCCACGCCCTTGTCAAGGGTCGGAAATCTCAACACTTCGTCCATTGGCGTCTTCTTGCGCAGCCAAACTTTCATCTGGGCAACTTGCAGCTTCGTCGCGATACTGCTCGTTGCATCCACTTTTCTCGCGGCTTCCAGCATCGTTGCCAAACGTTCGTCGCTGTCAACGTTGTCACGATAGCTATCTTTGGGTGCTTCTTGTTGGCCTTGGTCATATAGCTGACCCATACGCTGAACTGTTTGTTCTCAAGGAGATTCTCACCGCCCTGATCGAGTTTTAGTAGCACGAAGGCTTCATCTGCAGTTTTCCCTTGGAATCGCATAACCCCAATCTTCGTTTTATCGGAGATTTTGGACGTTGACCATTTTGCTGCGTCCTTAAGTTTAGTGACAATAGAGAGACTGCTAATAGCATTTCTCTCTTCTTCATTTGCTGGGAATGTACTACTCCTTAGCAATCGCAGAGGTTGAAGGTTTCGCTCGCGCTGCGATATGGAGTTAGCAGCTGAAGCCACATCGAGGCTCTCCAAGGACGCTAGGGCAGCCAGCAACAATGCTATTAAGACCTGACGCATTTTTTGTTGGTAACCCTTGTGAGTCGTTTCGAGGAGATTCTAGAGTGTATGGTACCAAAACTGCTCCTCCCATTCTGTTTTTCTTCTTTATCATACGAAATGCATACTACATGTAGAATTTCTGTCATGATCATGACCATGATTATTCTGGCTTACATGTATGCATAATCCTATCCTATTTTCTTCTCAATGAACTGTATTTAAATTGGCCGCCATTTCAACCTGAATTTCAGACTCGTACACGTTGATCAGCGATGCACGAGACAGCCCTATCGACCATAATATCCCCATTGTGACACACTCCAAATATTCATAGGGACAGTATTTGGGCTCTTAATGATCAACGGCATACAAATTCATGTCAAGTATCCCTCTGTTCTCTCGTTACTGGTTGGTCTGGATTGTGTAAACTCCAGTTTGTGATAGCTTGGTGGTATCACAGCCGAGATGATTGTCTGTGCGTCGAGAAAAAGGAAGTACAGTACTGTACTTCGAAGTAAACATTAGACCTGATTATATTAAATATAATCAGGAATATCATATGATTTTTTATTGTAATAGTACTATTTTCGCTATTAAATCTTAATAGTAGCTCAGTTTTACAAAAAGTTAACACAATATTTAAGGTCTCATCGACCTCTTTGTTCCAGAATGCTGGGTTAAAAAATTATACCGGTAGGTTATACAAAATGAACAGCTGAAAAATCCCAGTACATGTACGATCTGTACGCCACAATCAGGGTAGCGTTATGACTAATTAGCGTGAACGGTGTTAAGCCATCCATTTAAAAACCAGGTACTGTATTTTGAGGCATTCGAGGTTTTTCTAAGACCTTGGTATAAACCCTCGAAACCTCAAGAATGGGAGCGAAATAAATATGGTAATTCCCCCCATGGGACGATAATCACAGAGCCCCGAAATTTATTCACAGATCGCCTTCTGGAGACTGCAAATCGTTAGAACATTTAAACAGTATCGAAATGCAGGCTCAGGCGGGATTCCCGGTAGTGCGGGTGAATCTACAGTCAAACGTTAGTAATAATATTTTACATGTAAAGGGGAGAACTCATGGAGCGTACTGACAATGAGCTCTAGTCAATGTACAGTATCCGCGCGAGTTAATGTGATTTTTCGGAGGCTACAGTACTTGAAAACGCAGGAAATATAAAAGAGATAAAAACATGCAGAAAGTGAAGCGTCACATTGATATTTTTCTCCGACACTCACATTAGCGTTAATCTAAGGATCATTTAATGATCCTCGACTCGCGCGAGTTAATCTGAATTGATCCTCGACGATAACAGACAAAGATCACTGGTCTAAATATTTATTATCTCGTGATTTCATTCACGGGATTCCACAGTCGAAATCCACTTCTTAAGAAACATAACCAGGTCTAATGCTTACTTCGAACTATACTTCGAAGTTCGAAGTACAGTACAAGCAGGGGTTGATGGTAACTATAATAGCACCTGACCGAAAGAGTTTTTTTGTGAGCCCTCGGTGCAGAGGGTAAGGTGGCAAGAAACGTACTTAAGCGGGAGATATCATTAAAAAAAATCTTTTCTACTACCAGCTAAAAAATACTGGATTGTATCCCAAGCTGAGCATTTTCAAATTCCAGTAGAAAGGCCCACTTCAAAATGACGATTTCGTATTTTGACCGATATCTCTGCAGCCAGAGCTCAAGGGCGGACACCACAACCAAGGCATACCGCACACGGGCATATTTTTCGCTGTCTGAACGCTAGATTCGCGTGAGCACGGCCCTCCGCATTTGAAAGTCGTTAGTTTTTTGCTCAATTTTTATCGATATTACACCCACGGGTAAACCAGACAATTAGCTCCCGTTACACGCACTCGCAAACGCAGAAACGGGCTATGAGCGCTGCAATTTTGGCGCAACCAGAGCGACGTTTATCGGGTCAGCAGACACATAAAATCAATTTCAATATTATCAACAAAAAAGATAAACTTAATCAGCTGAAGAATGTCGATGGTGGAGAGATTATTTTCTGAATTAGTTAAGGCGAAGGCTGCAAGTGTAGGTTTTTCAATAAATGCAGGCTTTGGGGTCGTGTTGGGCTCATTTACTGATGCTGAATGATATATCCTTGATCTAGGAAAAGAGGGCGCCCCATATTGGCTTCCACTTGGCTAAAAATATGATTTCTGCGACAGGCGTAATCATGGATGCAATTTAATCAATTGAACTACCGTACATAGTTTATTCGTCTATGTGAGACTCTTGAAAACCCCAATCGTCATTTTGAAGTGGGCCAGAGTAGTATCCGATTGGATTTCTAGGCTTACGTCTCGTCGAAAGCTTCAACCTCAATTCAATCCCAACCTAATGCCTCAAAAGCCTCAAAAGCCAAATAATTTAGTAGAAGTTAATTTGAGCCTCATATATTCAATACTTGGATTTGAGCTGTGAACGTAGTACTGTACTATTCACAGTCTTACTCGGATAGCAGGCGCCCCACTGAAGCGCTAAATTTGATAGCCGAATCCAGTTTAGAGAGCCGGTATTGAAAAAGGTGCTCGCCTTGGGTTCAATAAGGAAGCCCTTGCGATATCGCTCGCTGGATATCCTTCAGTAGATGTATAAGTTGTGGTTGTATAAAAAAGATCGATGTTAGCGACACACTATGTTATTGTGACTTTGTACTTAAGTATATATAGAAGTCACAGGTGAGGCACACGATGAAGTGATAGGAGTACAAAGGCTTAAAAAGGCACAAAATACACTCGCTAGAAATATATATTACGAATATAAAAGCATAAATTTCACGAATTGTATACATTCCAGTGTTGTTTGAGTGTAGCTTTGTTACTTGAATGTCATTTATAATGTAACGGGCCAATTATCTTGTCCGGCCGTGGGGCAGGTCGTACTGCTCCCACAAATACTGCGCTGGGGGGTTCGCCCTGGTTAGTCGCCGCCCGTACGGAACTTCCTCACTCTACTGGCCGACAGAACCCACTCGGTTCTGCGCCGGAACGTCCACTGAGAAGTGTCCGTAAATATTTATATTTACGCAACACAACCCTTGCTGCACTACTCGCTCCTGGTCAACCCTCGTGTACTATTCCAAGCACCAGCCTTTCACGCCGCTGCGCTACTTCGTCGCCCGTGTGTTCCCCGCACCGAACGCCACCCGACTCTTCACACAGGCCTCAGGTGCCTTTCAACCCCTTGTTTCGCCCTCCTGGCGTCGGCGCTGCCCGCGCGGTCGTCACGTGCTCCGCTGGCTGTAGTTCGCTCGCTAGCTGGTCGGCCTCCGCCCCCTCCCTGCTCGCTCGCTCTTCCGTTTCGGTGACTCGGACGGCCTTCGTCTGCCGGTCCTCGTTCCCTCTTCCGTCTCCCAAGTGCGTCTTCCGCCACACACGTGTCAGGTCCTGTGCTAATGCCGCAGATCCAAAAGTGAGCTGCCCGGTTCTTCGCCCCACACTGCTCCCCTCCTTTGTTCATTGCAGTGCGGCTGCTGCGCGGTACTTCAACATAGCCCACCCCACTATTCCTCATCATCCATTTCAGCTTTCATGAGCCTGGCCACCTAGCCAGCACACTCACGTCGGCCTCTTCCGTCCTTCGTTTCGGCTCCCATGAGCCTGACCACTAGCCAGCACACTCATTTCGGCCTCTTTCGTCCTTCCTCCTGGCGTCGTATCCCACTCGTGCTGCCAATCACCTCTTTGACTACTGCACTCACGGTGTGCGAGGCACCCATCGTTCCCGGCTGGCTTCACGACCATGGCCGTCAGCCGGCACGCTCACACATCGTCCACCTCCCTCTCATCATCCATGCAAAACCCGTCGTTCGCATTCCACGTGTACTGCCACTCATCACCTGACTTTGCAGCCATGTGGTCCACTCGACTGCTCGATCCGTTACACGCCTTCTTCCACCACAGAGTCTTCCACGACTCTGTCAGCCGCGTACAATTCGTCGTACACCGCTCCGGAGACCCACACGCTCTCAGGTGCTCCTGTGACACATTCCTTTCGTCGTACAGGTCGCAACTCGTACCCAAGAACGTAGCATCCGGCCTTGTTTCGACGTCGTCTTCTTCGGACCTCCACCATTTCGCCATACGTGACTCGCAATGCTTCGTCACGGCCCATCGTCCTTGCTTTGCGTTTGTCCACTCTTCCTCCCGCTGCTGTTTGCACAGGCGCCTACGCTGATCCAGCAGTCGCGCTTGCTGCCTGGACATCTTCACCTGACTCGCCCGAATTTTTATACTCCAGTTGCGCTGCGATGTCTGCCGCCACACGTTTCAGCAAGTCCACCGGATAATCGTAGGTGATCAGGAAGGACACGTGAGCTATAAATCGCTCGGGTGCCCTTCTGATCCTCCCGTTCGACCAAGAAATCTCAAACCCTGCGGGCTCAATAAGCTTCATCGGCCCCATCCATTGGTGAACAAATTTACTTGCTTGTGGGTCTCGAGGCGGTCGGTACATCCACACCCGGTCGCCTGGATTAAATTCACGCCGTTTCTTCACTTTTTGGTTGTAGTAGGAGGCCTGGCGGCGCTGCTCACGCTCCCGCGCACTCTCCGCTGCCTCGTAACGCTTGCGCATCGCCATAACTAACTGCTTATGATAGACAGACAGCCCCCCCACCTCCGTGACGCCGTTCACACTACAACAACTCGTTTGGACCCCTTAACCGCCTGCCCATCATTAACGTATTTGGTGAAAGCGCCACCGTCGAATGCCTGCCGGAATTGTAGGCGTAGACTGCGAAGGGCACCCACGTAGCCCAGTCATTTTGGGCGTCCGCTTGCATGTACGTGGCCACACAATGCTTCCATGTACGATGGAAGCGCTCCACCAAGCCAATCATCTGAGGCCTATACGGCACCGGATTGATCTGGTCTGCTTGCAGCATTGCAACCAACCTCTCGATCGCAATCCCTGTCAACCCCGGCGCACCATCCGTCAATAATTCCCGAAATACACCAAACTTAAGCACAATCTCCTCCATTA